TTCTCACCTACATCGTCCATATAGGACGACTCGGGAACTCAACTCCTACCCCGGGCAGCTCACCTATCCCCTTATGCCCAGGGGAAAGGTATCAAGCCGTTTGACAGCTGATGCTAGCTGTCAAACCAGCTTTTACGCGAAACAGGCGGGAGGCAGCAAACAGCTGCGACCGACGAAGACGCCTGCCACCGGAAGTCTCAAAGTACCAATCCATCTGATAATATGAAATACTAAACCATACTGTTGATACATGGGGCCTAAGGAAACTGCCTAATTTTTTTTTTTTTAAAAAAAAACCTAATTAAATCTGCATGTACAAGTACAACATTTAAATAAGTGGGTATTGCAATTTTAGAAAAATAAATTAGCAGACCTAGTCAGAGTTCTGTGACTCTGTTATTTGGTCTTTGTCAGATAAATTTGACAGGGTTGTCACATCGGTCTCTGTAACACATACTTGCACTACTAAACTTTATGCCAGCAAGAAAGTTGGAAGCTAAAAATAAAGCATGAAAAGTGTTGTGACCTTTTTGAAGGGAAAAAAGGAATGAATGCATGAAAGCCAATTGCCAATTTGAAAACATATCCCTGGAATGCTTTGTTAACACACCCTAAACCATGACCCCAGTTGGAACACTACAATCTTAAAGAAAAAATAAACTAGAAAGCACAGTTGAACAGATAAAATTACAAGCAGCATAGATTAGGAAACTAGGTAATAATTTATGCATTAGCTCTAGTTGTTGATATACAATGGTGAACAAATGCCAAATATCTCAGAGAGCGTCCAATAATATTTTTGATTAGAGTAGAATGACTTATGGGCATCCTGAAGTGTGTGGCTTCATATAGATTTTAATCAATTAATTTTGATAATATGCAGCAAATGATAGTTACCAAAATATTACTTTTAGAGAAAATATTTATTTCTACTCCCAAATGGCTCTCCATAACCATTCAGACTGAAATAAAGGGAAATTTATATAGGCAGGAATAAATGTTAAATAGAAACACATAAATGAAGATTTGTCATCAAAGGAAGAGGAGGTAATATTGGCAAGATTCTCTGTTGGCTCCTTATTCATATATCAAACAGATTTGGTTTTGTCCAGTTAAAAAAAGTACAATACAGTAAAATGATTTCTTGCCCAGAAACTCTTATGACGGGGCAGGATTCTAATAGGTGATGGTAACCGAGTCATGATCACATACCTACAGTATTTGGACTACCGCAATGAACTATTGAAGATGACCCAGAAGTTCTAAATATGCAATGGATAAGTCAAACTCCATCATTTGAAAATAACACATCCGTTACAAGAAGTCCCATTGAATTCAAATCTACAAGTTGCCAAAATCCTATCTGCTCACTTTGTCTGGTCATCTAGTGAGGAGGCAATAGTGGTCACTCCTCCTTATGAAGTTTTTGGGCCAGAGATCAAATAACAGATCTTCCCAGAGGTAGTCCTACTTTTATCGTGTATTCTGCAGTTTGGAAGTGCAGGCAGCCTCTACACTACAGGCATTTCTAAAATTAAGCAAAAAGTGTTGTTCCAATTAGCCCTTACTTTACTTTAACTGAATAGTACTTACAATTTGCTATTGGTATTAACTGTAATCTTTAATACATTTGGACTGTGGCCACACATTTGTTATGAGGTATCCACAACAGTTCATTTTTCCATGTTGCATCACTGTTGTGTATCTTGGATAGACCGTATAAGAAATTCTCTCACTAGCATCTACTGAAGAACTTCCAGAACACTTGTAGACCTGATTTTCTCCAACCATGATCTTGTCACTTGTGAAACTTCATTATCAGCTCATGTCTTTTGAGCCCTTTTGCTTAGCCATCTGCTTCTTTCTCTTTCTCCCAGTGACTAGGGAGAAATGACATGGTACTTTTCAGGGTTTACAACTGCTGCCAAATTCCAGCATTTTTCCATTTCAATGTGTGAGTTCGTTTTGGATAATAAGCTTTTAGTTTTTTTTTAAAGCTGATTTTAGTAATTATCTATCAAATTTCTCTCTGAAGCAGTCAGTTTTGTAAGACTGTATTCACACCTTTGTCACTTATGATTTGGTAATGAAACAGAATGGTACTACCAAAGATATTTCCTTTAAGATTGCTTCATTTATATTCTGGAAGATAAAAGCTGCACACATTTGGGTCTTACTGCCTTTTATCTTCACAGAAATAAAGTGTGAACAAATTGCTTTGGGACTGTTTGTCTTGCAAGTCAGTTTTAAACTGTCTTAAACATTACAATATAAAGCAATGCAAGCAAAAACTATCATTAAATATGAAATGGACCATCTTAAATGTTCAATAGTAAATGTTAAATTTCTTATTGAAAGAATCCAACAGTCTCAAAAATACATTATACCGATATTATACTGATATTAGAAAGCTAGCACAATAGAACGAGAACAAGAAAAAATAAACTCATTGGTTGTGCCATAAACAATAGTAAACTGTTACGAAAATCACTCAAACAAAATGTTTCTTAACAGGATTACTGTATTACACATATTGCTCTCTCTTTGATTAGCTTTGAACAATCTCTTTAATTTTTCAGACAATAAATATGAGAGAAGAAACATAATCAAGCTTGAAATATTAGAGTATGAACATTTTATCCAGCCTTGACATAACTGGAGGAACAACTAAGTCTACTCTAATGAATTAATTGTGGAGGAGGTTTACAGTTCATTGCTTGAGTAAACCAAAGAGAACCTAAACACTGTAATAATTTAAAAAGTGTTCTGTATCTGGTTACACTACTTTACCTTCTGAAGAATCTGTCTGAATGGTTAATGACAACATAACTTAAAATGAGTTTTTAAAAAATGAGCTGATATATATTAAAGCCTGAAAAAGGAGTGCTATTCCAGTGTTTATTCAGGAGGACCAAACTGTAACGTACACATGACCGCATATCTCAAAATACCAACAATCAGTTTTCCTAGAGAAACAAATCTAAAAAAAAGAAAAGAAATGAAGTATAGGCATGTGGCTTTTTTCTACTGTAACTGTCATTCCCACAGTTGTTTTCTTTTCCCTATCCTCTTCCTCCCCAGCATTCATGTGGCCAAATCAAAACATGGAACATAATCCTCACAGGGAAAGATTAAAGGATCCTCTCACTGAAGGAAGATAAAGAGTTGCAGAAAAAACAGGTAAACGTACATACGCACATTTAAAGAATTCCTTTCAAATCTGCTTTGTCCTACAAAGGACAGTAATCAAAGTTAATGTATAAATCTACTTGTAAATTATATACTGTAAATACAGTGGTGAGTTTGACCTGAAGCATTCCCTAGATGACCTTGGCTATCTTGAAATAGGCTAAGAAAGAGTGGACCTAGTTAGTACTTTTAATGGGAAATTACCCAAAATATAAAAACCCTTAAGCTAGGGTAGGAAAATGCAAATAATCAAACCACACTCATATAGATATCAAGAAAACCACATGGATGTTGACCGCACAGCGATCACACGTTGACTGCAATGTGAGATTTTTTTTAATTTAGAATATACTTTTCTAAAAAAAATTAAAATATTTGAGCAAAGTGATACTTTGTATTTACAGCAATACAGTTGTAACTGAGCACAACAAAATATAATTGTAAAATATTGAAAAGAAGATACTATGATTTGTTCTCTAGTTCAATACTGATAAGCCCAAAACACTTGCAAAATACGTTTCCCAATGTCAAGACCAATTTTCATAGAAAAGGAAATCATTCTTCCAAGGATATATTGGTTGCTATTATAATGTAGACTGCTTAACATTTTGGGAGAGCCAGATGTCATTTAAACACATATTTCAAACAGGAATTAGGAAGCTTTGCAAGATACCCCCTACTGCGTTTCCTTCCTTTTTCTGGAGACAACTGATTCAAGATGTACAGTGTTTCCTTTCCAGTCTTCAAAAAGTTATTTGCACTTTGATCAAGAGAACTAAATATCAATTCAACTTGACAGAAAAACCTTTGAATTAAACTGGGATACCAGTTATCAAATTATTCTTTGGGGAACATGACTGTGGTTCCATGGTTATCACTTGGGCTGAGTAGTTGCTTCTTTCCACACTCCAAGCCCGGTCAAGGTCCACCAGTCCCATGCACTGTTTACCTGAAATATATGAACAGAACAGAATCGATTGGCTGACGGAGTCCCGTGACGGCGTTCATGGGTCGGGCGCAAAAAATAACTTGGTCTTGTATAAATAAGCGCTCCCATCGACCTGGATTGATCCCTGATGATGCTGGCAGTGGCCAGCGAAAGCTAGGATTTTAACTTATTAAAACTTTTATAGTTTTTTAAACCCTTCCTGGTGTTCACGCTTTTTATCTCTCGTCATGAGTACACCCAGGAATCATCCTTCTATTTTTAGTATTGTTTTTAATATATACATACATACATATATATATAATATTATGTGATAAAGAAACAATCACTTTGTTTCTGAAAAAAATTCTGAAAGCCAGTTAAGATGTTAGCCTTACATCTGGGGAGACCCAAATTCCAGATCTCCCACAATCATAGAAGCTTACTGGTTAACATGGGCCAGATATCTCTCATCGCCACCGGTCCTATAGAGTTATTGTTGGGAAGAAATTGGAATGTATTTGGGGTTTCTGGAGATATATAATATTATAATAATAATTGACAAAATACCAATAACTTTGAATACTACTTTGTAATCCATCTTTGGTCTAAATAAAAATCTACACATTATCTAATTTTATACATCTGGTGACTACCATGCTTTATATTATATACAGAAGTCAATCCCTATAACAGTGATATCCAGAGACAGAATACTACATAAATTATTTTTATATTGTTAAGAAACTGAGAAAGTAGAAGTAACAGAGGAGTAGCAAAAAAAAAAAAATGTGTTGTTTGGAAGAGCCAGGGCTTTTTTTCTCATAGAACGGAGTTCTGGCACCTTTTTTGGATGGAACCTTGTAGAGTAGGCAAGGCGGGTTGTATGATGTGTGTGAGTTCCGGCACCTTTTTTTTTTTTTTTTTAAGAAAAAAAAGCACTGGGAAGAGCTATTTGGGTTGGAAATATAACAAAAGAAAGAAAGTTGACAGCACAAACTTAAGCATTCACTGGTAAATATTCAAAAGTGAGTCCCACTGGTTCAAAAAGCATTACTTTCAGGGAGGACTAGTTATCATTAAGCTTAACTGCACCCCAGTGTATTTCAGTACCTGTTTTTAGGGAACATGTGTTTCATGCTAATCTGATCTGACCTTCCCCCCCTCCAGTCAGCTGAAAATAAAATTACACACCCATTAGCAAGTTTAAAAGGTGAAGAAAGATGACTGAAATAGAAAGACTTTTAATGGAGCCTAATGTCAAGTATAACATCAGAACTAACAAGACAAGAATAAGAACACAAAAGCTAGATGGAAGGAAAGAAGATGCTTGAGGTTCAGAAATTTCTCTTTCCTATTTTTTCCGTGAAGGGGAAAAGGACTGCTGAAATGCTGAATCAACATTTAAAAGCACACAAAGACACAACCATTCCACCCATCCTTATGTGACATATTTCTTTTATACTGTATATCACCAAAGTATTGGAAAAGGTACTCACTCCCAATTGGTGAATGACACCTTTCAAATGTACAGCTGGGTTGATAACAGCATAATTTTGCTAACTTTAAAATCTGCCAGATTTACTGAGACATACAAAAGGTTAGAAGATCTTGGAATTTCTTTATGTACTCTGAACCACAGAGACCGAATATTTTATGCAGGTGTCAAAGCAAACACTTTTATTGTTGTTAAAACCTCTGTAATACAGCCTGTAACTAAACACTTTCATTAATATTCACCCTCATTTTTTCTCCTGATTAATTATGCACCATCAAGTCATTGCTGACTCTTGGCAACCAGATAATTTTTCTGTTACTTCTTGCAAATATTTTACTTCAAATATTTATGGTTCACTTTTCAATCACATGTCTTCCTAAGACATTTAATAATAACTAAAACATAAAATCAATTAGAATAATACTGTAGAACAGCATTTAACGTTTTAAAAATAGTCAAATTAATCAGCATTAGAATTCAATCAATAGCCAGTTTTTCAGGGCAGAACAATTAGTTTTGATATAATCAAACAATCATCAAGCTTGAAGGCTAATAATAGGCATAGGGCAGAGAGTTTGTTATAGAGAACACAAGAGATGGGAGAAAGAAGTAACTAAAATTAGAGTGGGGATAAATAGAGAGCTGTATCTCCATGCTGACAGACAGCAATCAACTCTAAGTGAGTTACTGATATGCAATAAAGATTCCTAACTAGCTATGCCTGTCATATGTTTTAAAGACATACTGTAAACTAAGTATGAATCTAGAGCAGTGGTGGCGAACCTATGGCACAGGTGCCAGAGGCGGTACTCAGAGCCCTCTCTGTGGGCACGCACGCCGTTGCCCCAGTCCTAGGCTTTCAGCTGGGTTTTATAAAACCTTTTCGCTTTAGGCCTCCGCCATTGTGTACAAAAAAAAAAAGGTTCAATCAATCAGTCAATTTCAACTTCTCACGGGAAAAAAAATCTTGCAAAGTTGAAATTGATGGATTGAACTTTTTACTCCCACCCAGTCTGCCGTTACCACCGCAGCCACGCCCATCCAATGGGCCACATCCACCCGGCACCCGACAATGCATAAGTGGGTTTTGGGCTGAAGTTTGGGCACTCGGTCTCTAAAAGGTTCGCCATCACTGATCTAGAGCCTGGTCAAGCCATGCCTTTGACTACTGCTTGAAAATTGCTGAGATCTTACCAGTGAGATTAATAATTTCTGTTCTGTTCTCCTTATTAGTGAACCTAATAATTTCTATTGGTTGGCCTACTGTGTTTTGTTGTTGTAAACAATGCCTCATTTTATTTTTTAATATGTTGTAGTGATATGTCTGATTTATGGATGTTGATTTCCATACTATCCATACTAAAGCATATTATTGCTGTTTTTATGAGTCACTGACCATTTTGGATATCCATCCACATGTTATATATATTTAAATTGCTCAATAAGCATTTATAGCACAAAGAAGAGGTTGTGTTTGAATGTGTTATTATTACAAGAAAACCAATTTCACAATAGCACCTATTGTACATCTATCAGAAGAATCAGGAAACAGATTTTGCAGAGAGAAGGAGAGAGGGAGGCAACATTAGTAGTGTTAGTATGATTTTTAAGGAAATCTGTGTCTGCAAGGGCAAGGCTTGCCCAAGAGTCTTCATGGTTGACAAGAGATTAGAATCAGTCATACACTTTTATAACTGCTTGTTAATAAACATGTCACAACCAGCCATTAATAGTAAGCTAATCACATCACCAAATACAGTGTATATAATCTCCACAACAGCTGTTCTACAGAAAAGCATACCTATTTGCCTGCGTTCAGAGGGCAGCTGGACAGCTGTCTGATCAGCGAATCTGCAAAGAATCATGTGCTCCTAGAATAAAACACACACACACACACACACAAATGGTCACTGGCATTGTTTTACTCTACAAAAAATAATTATTTTAATAGGACTATCCAGAAAAGTAGGTTTATCTACGTTTCTATTAAAAATTGCTATCAGCAGATTTTGGATTATACTTTTGTTATTCATTCTGAAAGCCAATGAAAGGAGGGCAAGGGAAAGTTAATTAATGTTCCTCTGACTCAGTCAAAACTGGATACAGCTATTATAATTGCAAATGAAAACTACAGGATTTCTCCACTGGCAAATACTCGTTGGAAAGGGGAAACATATCCCTGACTGTATTTTTTGCCTCTTTGCTTTTGCTGTTAGAGCATTAAATGACTTTAGCCCACTTGTAATGCCTCCTGTGTTACTATTTTGCTCCTTCTCCTTCATTATTCTTGACTCTTGGATAGGCATACTGCTCTGTGACGGAGTACAAGACTCCCAGATGAATTCATAACGCTGTACTTTTATACCATGAGCTTTTGAACTGTTTGCTTATTAATCTGTACCCCTAGAGATTAACTTTACCTGTACAATCTGGAACTGAGTTTCATTAATGCAGTCACATACTGTAATTGACTGAATTTATTGTGCATTACATGCTTCCTACTGAGAAGCCCTTAGAAGTTGGTCTACTCCCTATTAAGTGAAAAAATAAAGATCAATGCCATGACGGTATATGCATTATTTTTATTTTTTCAACTTATGCTTTATTTTGTACAACACCTATTTTTTTTGTTTTCAAAATTACACTGCTTAAAGCTACATTTATATTTTGTACAAAATTATTGGCCCTGGGACTGGCAGAGATAGAATTTCAAACCAGTAAATTAAGAGGGAAATGTATTGGAAATATAGGCATAGGAAGACATATACATGACCCCCCCCCCCAAAAGGTGCCAGGCTTTGAACTACCACATCAGTAATGGACAATCCTGAATAAAATTCACACCTCGCACAGTGTCTGCCAGGACTGTCTATATAAATGGGGCACAGTATCCTCCCTAGTGTGATTGTGGGATCCCACGTCAAACTGTAGGTCACATTGTGACCAGCTCTAAGCTGAGGGCACATACAGGTCCAGTATCTGATTTTTCAAAATATAAACGATGCTGTGCTTCAGTGATTAGATGGCCTAGACATTGGTATTTGAACATAGACCTTTTTAACATTTATATTTTATTATGTTTTACTAATCTAGGTGAAATGTTAATATATATTGCTAATCTATGTATGAAATGCCATATTCTATCTCTCTCTGGTTTTTAAATCACAGTGTTTTTGTTTATATGTTTATTTAACAGTATAATTGGCATTCCAGAAATAACACTAACTAGGTATTTTGGATTCTAAATGTCTGGGAAACAGAAGATAAATCTAATATTTAGAAAAATGACATAATTGGAATAAAACTTCCTTAGATGTGTTAATGGCTTTATGTGTGTAAATTGCTCCCTCTTTGGAAACATTAGCTTAAATGAAAAAGCTAGTTATTTAAATTGAGACTTTCTATTCATGAAGAAAAAAGTTTTATTGTCTGGATATTTATCCCTTTAATGGGACAAAATCATTTTATTAAATTGTGCAACAGGTTTTCCTAATTTCTCTGATACCTATATACATATATACATATCACATAGCTCATGCTCTAACTGTAAAAAAATTGGTTGAATGCCTCTATTTCCAAGTGTATATCTTAAGATGAGTCAAATGTTGCATTATTTTTAATGCAAACAGGGAGACCACTGTATCAAAAAGAGAGGCCTGTAAGTGGGAAAAAATGGTAGGTTACTGAAGGCTTAATCAACCCACCATTTTTCCCTTTGCTCCTCTTTTCTAAAAAACACTGTTCTATATTACATATATGTGTATTTAATATTTAAGTAACTTCATTTAGTGATACAAGGAATTTTCTATAAGAAAATTCACATAATCCCTGTCACCAACTACCATTTCTTTACTATGGGCTTTTGTTACTGCCATTTTGAACAAAAAATTAAAGGATAAAAATGCTTTAAGCTTCATTTGACAAATAAAAAAAAATACAAGGCTGGGATAAACTATGGAGTATGTGACAATGTCTAGCCACCAAGTTGGCTTCATAGGGATAATTAAAAGTATATAAATCCAAACTGGAAGGGTTCTCATTAGTGCTGATACAACCAAGTTATAAGATATAAACTTGGAATTGGGACACCATCTGGTATAGATTCACATAAAATACTACAAATAAATTGGACTGATTTTGGAATGCCTTCTGGCACAAATGACCGTTTTTTTAAAAAAAAAAGAAAAAGAAAAAACCTGTTGCACATTTATGAAAACAATCTGTTTCTTAGAACCTGCAATGTTTCACTATGAGACATCGTAACTTCTGAATTTGCTATTTTCTTATCATTGCAACATTCAATGAACTCAATAAAAGAAGAATTTTCAGACGTGGTAAAATATACTGCACCCATGATAGATTTTTTAAAAAAAATAATTTACATTAGTAACGTTTTATTTTTTCACTGGTTTAATACTTCCAGTCCAAACAGGTGTGAAGTAAAATGTTGATAATACACAAAAATAAATATAGCATGTATTTCTTTACATCTTTTTTTTTTATTTGAGGACATGCTGAGGTTTTGGACATGGCCATTGCAGCAAATATATATATATAGTAACTTTTGTATATAAATGCCTTTTAATGATTTCATTAAAAAAGTGTTCAGAATACATTTAATAAATTATGTGAAAAGATTTAATCCTGTGTTCTTTTACCTTCCTAGTTGTGAGTAAAAAAAAAAAAATCAAGTTCCACATGAGTTATTGATTTAAGCAGTGGCATGTATTAGCTTTTTAAAATATATTTTCATTTATTAGAAATTTAAAAACTATTCATTAATGTTTCAATTTCAATTTTTTATTATGGTCACAGACTAGCAAATAAAACATTAAAACAATAATAGTAAAAAATAAAAATAAAAGAGAAAATAATATATCACAATTGGTGATAGATTAACGAAGGCCAGTTAAAGTTTGTCTAATTTTACATATAGCACAGCAGACTTTGGCCACGTTCAGAGAAACTACTTCATACTGATTTGATCGCTCTACAGAGGATGCTGTTTCTTCTGTTCTCCATCTGAGCTTGGAGCACTTAGAGCAGGGGTTTCAAACTCGTAACGTCACGTGACATGTCACGATGTATGCGACTTTTTCCACCATTGCTGGAGCTGGGGTGGGCACAGTTTTGGCATGACGCATCTGGCCCGTGGGCCGGCAGTTTGACACCCCTGACTTAGAGGAAAGAAATACTCATGTGCGTATGCTGTTTGTCGACTTCAGTTCAGCATTTAACACAATCATTCCTCAGCATCTAGGCCCTTTAGGCTTTAATACTCCTTTGTGCAACTGGATTTTTGATTTTCTTATTGATAGGCCCCAGTATGTGTGAGTTGGGACTAATATTTCTAACACTATTTTCTTGGGCACAGGTTCTCCTCAGCAACCATATTGTGAAGTATGCTGACGATATAATAGTAGTGGGCCTTATTCAAGATGTGCTTACCGCAAGGAGGTAGAGGTTTGGTGAACTGGTGTAAGAAAAACACCAGTGAAGCAGGCACAGCAGCACCTGCATTTTCTGCGTCGCATGAGAAAAGTACATCTTCCTTCCCCTATCCCACTTTCTAGAGGGACGACCGAGAGCATCCTGTCATATTGTATTACAGTCTGGTTTGGAAGCATCACTGCTTCAATCAGGAAGGCAGTGCAGAGAGTGGTGAGGATGGCTGAAAAGATTATTGGCAGTTCCCTCCCTTCCATCCAGGACATAGCACATAAGTATTGCTTGAGCAGGGTCTGTAAGATTGTGTGGGACACTACACATCCTCTTCACAACCTGTTTTCCTTGTTACCTTCTGGGAGGAGGCTTTGTGGTATCCAAAGCAGAACATTCAGATTCAGTCAGTTTTGTTCCATACAGTATTAACCTTGTGAACTCTCAAACTTCCTCTTTCCGCTATGCATTCAAATGGACAGTGATTAATATTTATATGTATTTATATGTAAGGGTATAGGTATATACATATGCAGTATATAGCCTGTTTATATGTATATTATGTAGGTGTACACTTTTGAGAGCAAGCAACAGATTTTCATTTTTAATGTGTGCCAATGTATCCACAGTAAAAAAATGACTATAAAGGTTATCTTATAACAGTTGCACATAAAAAAATATCAGTACTTCTCAGATATTTTATTAGGAAAGGTGTTATGAACTGAGTCTGTGAGTCCTGATGCAGTATGGCAGGACTTGAGCCATAATTTCAGTGATCCCTTGTCCACAGGGCCACAGTCTCAACTCAGATAGTATATTTTTGTGTATTGGCCCTCCAATACAAAATGCACTGTGGGAAGTACGTTGCAGTGGACTAAAGTTAATGCCCTTCAGATTTTTGGAATGGTTATTTGATATAAATACCTCGCTGCTTTAAAAGGGGATCATTAATATGTTATATTTAGCTCTTTAAATAAGGATTTGAAGTACAACTCCAAATACTGTAATATTAAGTTGAGAGATACTTATTAAGAAATTATCACTGTCCAATTTCAATCTGGAGAGAAGACCAGGAGGGAAACATATGGAAACAGAATGAATGTTAAAACAGGAAACTGTTTCAAAGATGCAGATCTGTATCTGGCCTAATACTACTGGATGGGCTCAGACTGTCTCCAGACATATTTCAGATACCATAGAAGACATTAGAAACCTCCTATTTAACAGCTATTCTTTGTATGTACAATTGATGGATGGACATAGTTTTTTTTACACTGGAACTAAAGGTTTTTTTGGCCCATGTTTAAATTCTTAATAGCCATTTTAAGTTCTATTTTATGATCTGCCTTAGAGAGTCTTAGATTTGAAAAACAAGATAAAAAAATAAATTAAAAATAAATTTATATTTACTAAATGTTTATTCCATTAATAAAAGGAGAAAAACACATAAGCCTTTTAAGTTTGCTATTCTGATATATTTTTAATGGGAGATTTGTTTTACAGTAAAACTAAACTAAACAAGAAAGATACGTAGAATGAAATTCTAAACCCAAAGTTTATATTTTCCTTACCTTATATGACAGCACTTTCTTGAACAGATGGCTATAATAGAAAAGAAGATCTTATTTTAAATGCTCAACAAATTCTTAATCAAGTGATTATGTTGTTGCACATAGTGTAAGAAAGAAGCACCCAAAACAGATTTTATTTAGAACCTATCCTCTAAAAACAGATTAGTAGTTCAGTTTGTTTTGAACAATGTTGCATTCTTAAGAACTTAGTTTGGAAGTGTTCCTGAAAAAAACAGGAATACTTTAGAATAGTTGCACTTATTGCCTTATCTTTCCATAGCTATACATGCATGATAACATCTGCAAGAATACATTCTCCAGAGATTGCAACAGAAGAGTCTGGAGAGGAAAATTAAAAAAAACAAGTGAAATGACTGGCTATGCAAATGGTGTTGACAGGGAAAAGGGTTTGGGGGACCATAATCTCAATTATCTAAATAATGGACTGCTGGCACAAGGTCTAACAACTTACAAGAACTGGTTAAAAAATTACTTAAGAGTACAAGTCTGATCAGAAGAGCTTTAAACTGAATCCTGGGATGGGGTGGGTTAAAAATGTGAATATCTGTAACTCAAGTTAAATATTTAGGTGCTGTAGAAGGAACAAAAGTAATAAAGTATTCACTCCTGTTTAGAAATCCAAATGAATGAATGTAACAAGGCTATAGAGGCCATCTTGGTTAAAATAAGTGGAAGAACAAATATGCTTAGAGGGTGCTGCAAAGCACAAGGAAGTGTGTTATATAAGTCTAAGTGCTATTGCTATTATTGTTCTTGGTGTCTCCAAATGTCTACCTATTCAAAAGGAAAATGTGACCAACACCTTTTAAAATAAATCTCAAATCGTTTAAAGAGTAATAAAAGGATTTCAACCATCCAGACATCTGTTGGGAGTCTATGGTCATTCCACAAAATTCTTGACTTGTCTTATGAACAGATTTTTTTTTTCAGGGGGAGGAAGACTCCTAACTTCATACCAACTAACAGGGAAAACTTTGCAGGAAGTAATAGTAGGAGGAACATAGGAAGAAGGTGACCATGTAATGTTGGGGTTCTTAATTTTAAGGAAAATTAAAGCTTAATATAGTCAAATGGGAGATACACCTCACTGGTAACACTACATGTGGAAAACATCTTGTAGTTGCAAATAAATGGAGTTTAAGTGAGCAAAGTGACATGGCTGAAAGAAAAAGAGCAATGTAATTTTAGCCTGTCTCAACAGAAGAATTTCCAAATAGCAGGAAGGAATATTCTACCATATTCTACAATGATCAAACCACACTTTAAATATGCCTAGTTCTAGGCATCACACTTTAAGAAGGATTAGAACAAAAGGTTCTCAGAAGGAATGATCAGAGGATCTTGTAAGTGTCCTACGAGACTTAGAAGAAATTGGGCCTGTTTAGCTTTGAGAAGACAATGGAAGGATAGCCTGCACTCTTCATAAATATGAAAATATATCACAAAGAGAGACAGGATCTGTTGGTTCTTATTGTAGGATCCAGATGAACAGATTTAAGTTACAGAAAGACAGAATCCAACTGAAACTTAGAAAAAGATTTCTCAAAAATAAGACCAGTGAGCTACACAGATCGTTCAAGTGAAATCAGACATTTATCGGGATGCTTTAATCGAGATTTCACCATTGAGGAGGAGGATGGATTTCATAAACAAAATGACTTTTTCCAATTGTATGTTTCGGGATTCTATGATTTGGGACTATGTATTTCTTTTCTACATAATACAGCACTAGTAACTTGCATTTTTCTTAAGTAACACAGCCTGAAATATTTTGATATAATTTGTAAGCAACTTTAAATATTTTAAAATATCAGCTGTTAAACATAATGTTTGGATTTGCTGTTTTCTCTATTATGTGAGAAAGTTTTTATCACCGTACCCAAAATGCAGTTTCAGATGTTGGGTAAAATGCTATAAATTTTAACATATTGGAAAAGCAACTGACCTTCGTGGAAATACAAACTTGGATGTATTCTGTATGAAACCATAACAGCAAGGAGAGATAACAAATGCTGCACCAACTTTGATGCAGTGTTCAATAACCATGTCCGTTGCCACACCGCAAGCATGCAGTGCCACCTGCAAAAAGAAACTCTAAATATTTATTTGTTCAATTTCTATGGCTGCCCATCTCAGTCAGTGACTCAAATTTGAGTAGAATACACTGTCCCATTACCAAACTTCTATGAGAAATAAAGGCTTTCTATTCATATTCCACAAAATTAAAGAGTGCATTAAGCATATTTGAAAGGTGCACTGAATAAGAGAGGGAAGCATCTCTTTTTTTTGTCAGTGATAAGTGTTTCTATGAATGAAAGCATATAATGAATACTGCTCATTAAGGAACCAATCATTCCCATGTCATTTTCTGAACAGCTGAGTTATCTATTGGAACATCAGCTTTTGTTAATTGTGATTTTTATTATTCATACTCAGTTAGAAAAAAATGTTATAGAAATTGGCATGAGAATAAATGTCAACATTAACTCAAAACTTTTTTCCCTAAATGAAAATTATTTTAAGATAGTATCTTTAGTTTTTCAAGTGCAAACAAGGTAAAATAGCTTACCCCAATATTAAAACTTCCTTTAAAATTGTCCATGTTCGCTTGGATGAACCAAATATTATGTAATCCTAATTCATCACTTCTTTTTTCGGCACATAGGAGTGACTGTTCTTTATTTTCAACCAAAATTATCTACATTAAAAAAGAAAAAGAAAAAAAAATAATCCTGGTCAATTTCTGGATTAAAAAACAATACATATATTTTGCAATGAAAAGACTGAAGAGCTTGCATAAAGTTTCCTTGAACAGAAATATTTCCATTATAAACATAAATGAAATGCAATTAAGCTTGACTTGAAATAGTTCTTTTTAAAAATGCATTGTTCTGGGCATGTTACAAAAACCAGATATGTCATTAAACTAAAATCTTACTGTTTCATAGTGAAAAATTATACTAATTCTAAAAAAAGGAGTTTCTAACCAAACACTGATAAAGCAATATAACCATGATGGTAGACCCTCCAGTTAAAAAATGGCAGTGTATTTCCTAGGGTCAAAAGGTTAAAGAATATTCTAGTTGCAGTTCTAAAAACCTAGTATTCATTCTTGTGAGCAGTTATTATTGTGCAGTGACATCCAAGTCTGTTGTAATAAACATAGTATATGTGCCAATCCTACAAAGTTTTTATCCAGTTAGCTTATAAAAACAAAGATTAGATGTTTGCTAGTTATTATATGCACTGTCTTTAATATCAAGCATCCATGACCACATTTGTACCAGATGGGCCCAGTTGAAATCATTGTCACATTTTGCAGAACTTTGCAACTGCAATTCCCAAAATAATTTGTGAGCAGGCCTCTCTGGTTCATTTTCAAGTATTTGGAAACAAGATGTTTTTTTCAGGTTCATTTGCAGGCTTCAGAATGATTTAACACAGATTTCCAAGGGAAAATCTTTCCGAGGTTTAAGACAGAGAGACATATTGCTCATAGAGGAGCAGCACAGTTCTACAACTGTGAATCAGTAATTAAATCATAGTATTTCGCAGATAACACTTCTATATTTGAGGATACTGAATAAAAACAGAGATTTATGTTTAAAAAAACTTCTGGGTTCTTTTTACAGTTACAAAACTATTACATGTTTTCCATTACTGTAAAAGTTCAAAAATTAAACTAGAATCAAGATTTCCAATTTGCCAACAGATTTGGGATTATGTAACGTTTTGAAATGAATTTATGCTAAAACATATTCAGGCCATTGCTTTAGCATTTTTATCAGATTTATATAAATTTATTTAAATGTTTTACAAGTATCATGTAGGATACACAATGATATGATATTTTATAATAATTGTAGAAGTTGTATAATAATTGTAAAAGTCTAAAAGCAAATTAGAATATAGTCAGAGAAAGATCCAACTCAAGTTTAATAAAGCACAACATAAAGGAAGGACACTGACACACTGGACCACTTCCAAATTTAAGATGTTAAAGGGTACAAAAGGAAAAATTTACAACTAATGTCGCAAAGCTGCTTTTCCAAAAGGCAACTGGATTTTCTTGGTTTTTTTCTTGAAAACATTTCACTTCTCATTCAAGAAGCTTCTTCAGTTCTCAATGATTAGTTAAATGTTTTCAAGGAAAAAAAACAAGAAAGTCTGATTGCCTTTTGGAAAAGCACCTCTGGGACAACCATGATCTGGATGACTAAAAATCTGCATAGACTTTTAGAAGTAAAGGTTGGAGGCAATGGATATATTTAGCCTGACATCCTCCCTCGCGGAAAAAAAGACTACAAGGAGACTTGATATCTGCAGTAAAGTATATGAAGAGGCGTCCTGGAAAAAAAGCTGGGCAGAATGTCTCCAAAAGACAGGACAATAAACAGTTCATTAAAATTAGAACCAAAATGGGGAATTTTTGGTGCTCTCTGAGCTTGGTTGCTTGCCTGCAGATGTTTCACTACCCAACTAGGTAACATCATCAGTGCTAGTGTGAGGTTTGCTTTTTTATATATACAGCAGCATACTCTGCTAGTGTTGTTGAAGGTGTGTGGTTTTCTCCTTGGTAGTTCCTTGACAGCAGGGAAGCAGTATTTTTTTGTGCATATTGTATTTACAAGCACATAGACCGTTGCTCCAGGTTGTGAGAGGAGTAATTCCCCCAAGTTTTATTAGAGAATCTTCTGAGCTTGTTCTAATATTTCTAATTAATTAATTATTAAACTGATATCTTCCCACAATTAGATGGTCATTTGTGGATAAGATCTTCCATATTTAGGCTAACCTAAATGTTACCTTTGCTTTGGGCCTAGATATATTAATTTAGTCTTTTTCACTCACTATTTACAGGAATTACTTTAAATGGGAACTATGAAGAGGCATAAAAATATATGTTCTCACAAACATTATTATTTTGTTATTTTTTTAAAAAATATAGAAAGCTGAAAATATAATCAGGGAGCTGCTTTTATGACCAAATTTCCTTCATAGGAAGATTATTTTTTTTTTCTTAGAAATAATTTTCTAAAAACTTGAAGTATTGTTATTGAAGGATGGTACATTATGATCAGTTAAAAAAATATATCCGGAAAAAGGTGAATAGGTATTTGAAAAACATACTACAGCATATAAGCCACCCGTATCTAATTGCATATTTGAAATTTTGAATTGCCAATATTTATTTCATTGGTACTTTACCTGGCACAGTGGTAAAATATAAGCAAGAACAATTCCAACATGGCCCTGTTCAAGACAAGAAATGAAGAAGTAAATCTTAATTCTACACAGCCACTGCTTTACAACTGGAAGTGTGCTTAAAATGGAAAATATACTTTATTTTGAATGTAAAATAAATTGCAGAAGTTCCAGAAGAATTTTGGATTAGCCATGGTTCATCATAAAAAACACATCCGTTATGGTTATTCCGGGTTTTAAGGAAACAAAATCTGGATGGATCCCAAAGTGATTTTACAGGATAAGTAAGGTAAGGCTGGTGTGCCTGGGACTTCTCCCTCTCAGCGCATCACCTTTCTCTGGCCTTCTTAAGAGTCTCTTCCTTCACCCAGACACTCACTGTGCCAATATACTGGCCTGTGCACTTGTTCCTTTGGGCAATGATCTTTTACTGTGTATTTCCATATCACTTCTGCTCTGAACCTCAGAACAACCTCTGTCTCTGAAAAAAGTACACACTTTTGTTCCATGTATGGATTGAGAGATGTATGATTCAGATGGGCATTGAAACCTGTGGCACAGGTATGGAACATTTTGCATATCCTTACATGCAATGTATTGCAACAAAATATCAACAGACACATGAAAGTCAATGAACCTCTAATTTGTTTGCCTCTGTCTTGTAGGCTGGTGGTATACTTGTATATGTGAAAAGTAATTGAGATTGTAATTTACTACATTACCCCACCACTGCAAAAATCCACAATTACATCTCCAGGCTTAGACAGTTTTGTCACTAAAGCTATTAGGTTGTTCAGCTGCTGCTGTTTCCTCAAAGCACGATCAGCAGACATCTTTCCTAAGAATGAGAAAAAGAAATATAAACTGACTGAGAAAAAAAAACCTGTTTCTTTTAAAAATCAATTATTTAACTACTTATTCTGATTTGCAACTGATTTATTTTTAAAGTTTAGCAGCAGTAGTTCTGATTTCAAATGGTGAAAAGAGGAGAAAAGAACAAACTCGCTTACACCATAAGTCAGTTTTCCAAATAAGCGTCGGTTCTCTGACACATCCATGTAATTACTTTGCCAAAACAAAAGTAGTTTGCCACTGCATTGTTCCAAGGTATTTACTGACTCCCAGTCTAGTCTACATCCTTATTATTTTTTGTAGAATCCCCACAAAAATACTAAGTGTAATCCCGACTGGCATTTTGAGATCCAGTAAAGTTGACAGAACTTCTCTCTACTATCCTGGTTTCATCTGACAAAGTAATCTGATACTACAATAATCTGCACAGTATAAGTTTATATATGTGCATTCAGATTTACTAAGGATTAAATGTCAGCCTCTACCATTGTTGGTTCCTTATGCAACATTCAAAAGTCACAAAATGCGCTACACAGCAGATTACAATATTTTCTATCTCATTTTAAACAAAAAAATGTTTGTTCATTAAAATGAAGGTCCAATTCACTTTGATTTCTTTTATTCAAGAAATCCACAATCCACAATCAACAAGAAAACCAGAAATTATTTATCTCCAGCAGAGGCCACACTCGGCATAAGTTCTTTTTAATTGAAGAAGCCAAGTTTTAGCTGTATCAAGGTTTGCATGAAGCAAAATAGTCCACACTTAATTATAATCACTCCACTGAAGCTTATGTTTCAGACATGAGGCTTACAGCACTATTGAACAATAATGTCTTACAAAAAGATCCTCAGAAAAAGATGGAAAGGATATATTTGGGTTCGTCCAACTATCGTGTTTCCCTGAAAGTAAGACCCGGACTTATATTATTTTTGCCTCCAAAAGAGGCATTAGGTCTTACTTTCGGGCGGTGTCTCATATTTTCCATGACATCTGCCTCGCCTTGCGGTGGCAGCACTAACAGCCCCATCCAAAAGTTCAGTCAGACCTTCCAACTTCACAAGATTTTTTTTTCCACAAGAAATTGGAAGGTCTGACTGAACTTTTTTTTAGTCTCACTCCGTTTCCCTGCAGCAGGAGAAAAACGCGCCAGAGCTGGAAAGGTTAGTGAAGAATTTTTTTTGCTTTCGGGAAGAGGGAGGAGCTGGGCAATGGTGCGCCAAGCTCTATAGCAGCGCTAGGAGAAGCGGCAGGAAACAGGGCTACCATTTCGAGAACGGAGAAGGGAGATGCGGGCGATGCAGGGCAGCAAGCAAGTGCTCTTCTCTGCTCTGCCTCGCTGCGCAGAGCCATTCCCCTCCCCGTTCTCTTCAGTGGCGGTGACGGAGGGCTAGCGGAGGGAGGTGGAGGTCACAGCACAAGCCATAGGAAAGTTGATGGAGAAGGTGGCGGCTGCTGCCAGGCAGGTGATCTGTGGAGCGGAGCATGAAGAAAGCCCCTCCAGCGGCGCACAGTGGCAGCGGAGCCTTTCAATGTCATTCCCTCCTGGCTCCAAAACAACAGACGGGGACTAGGTTTACCTCGCCCACTCTCCGTATGGTAGCATGGCAGTCCAGCTTGGGAGGGGAGTGAAAGAGAGCAAGGAATGGCCTGGCTGGGGGGGCCCTGAAGGAAGCGGGTGCGGGGGACGTGGGGCAGCTCCATCCCCTCACCTTGCTGGTAGCGGCGTGATGTGCCAAGCAGCCTCCTGCCCCATTGCGGCAGCCAGGAGGGACGGAGTGGGCAGGGTCATAATTAGGGCTTATTTTTGAAGTAGGGCTTATATTAGGCCCACCCCCACAAATCAGGATAAGTCTTTTTTTCGGAGTGGGGTTTATTTTGGGGGGAAACACGGTATCTATTTCATATCCTTGTCACTGTTGTTGTAGCAATCAGCATATTATAGAATATAATTCAAAATTATTTATTTTAAAAATGCATTGTCTTGAGGCAGCAGAACCAATGAATAGTATAAAACAGATTTTAAATTCCTATAAATACAAATCTGATAAAATATTAGAGTCAGATTAAAAACAATGGCAACAGCAACAGTAGATTAAAAAAAAATCCTCACAGAGCAGCCTCAATAGGTTTTCTTTTTTCTTCTACTGGCTTTATGAAATGCTAACCTTTTACTATGTTTGGCAGTGTTCCACAAATGGCTATAACTTATTGCAAAACATAGCCCGTATTTATTGTTTAGATTTTTGTGAAAAGCAGAATTTTCCTTCACAAACATTCAGCGATTTAGACAACGACCTTCAACAGGAACTGTAATTTAAATCATAAGAATAAAAATCAAACTTGCATATTAAAAGAATAATCTGTGCCCTAAGAAAAAACATTTTACTTCTGTAATTCCTTTTGCTTTAACTTGTCATGCAAGAACAACAGCAAATACATCTGAGTTAACTATATGTTGTGACTATCTTTAACAATTTGGCAAATATCCCTTAGACTGCTACCTCACCTCCTAAGTATGGAAGAGGGACCATGAAAGACAATTGATGCTTGAAAAGTTGATTTAAAAGGCGCCTAAAGGCAGGACGAGAAGCAACGGGTGGAAACTGATCAAGGAGAGAAGCAACTTAGAACTAAGGAGAAACTTCCTGACAGTTAGAACAATTAACCAGTGGAATAACCTGCCTCCAGAAGTGGTGAATGCTCCAACACTGGAAGTTTTTAAGAAGAGACTGGACAGCCGTTTGTCTGAAATNTATTATTATTATTATTATTATTATTATTACTACAATGTGTCTGTTTTTCTTAACTCTTATTGTTTACTTTAGCTCTACTAGCCAAATTGCTTTCTATTAAAAAATACACGAGATGTTACTTTAATTATATACTTGTTATATATTTCCAGTGTTATGTCTGGACCATGGAGGCTTTTAAATAGGTTCAATCTATTTTCTAACTACTTTTCAGGGCACTAATCTAGACAGGATTGCTAAATGTTAACTGTAGGTATTTAAATTAATAATACATTCTGTTCTTTTAGATATTAGGACATGAACTACAAAAGAAAGTACCGTAACTATTTTGGAAGTTTATCTAGTTAGTTTAATATTCATTTTACATATTAAAATAAAGAGCTAAATTTGGTATTTGTTAATCTTTTTATAGTCTAAACTCGACAAGATACTGATAATCCCACTGACCTATTTCATATCAGAAACACAACACAGCAGAGACATTTTAATGCTTTCCCTAATGCTATTTCTAAATAAAAAATCCATTCCTTGAAGCTATTTTTTCCATTTTGTAAACTTAAAGGCAGTTTTGGAAACCAAACAAAAACAATCTACTTAGGTTTCCAGATCATTCTATTTTAAAGCACCATAACATTTAATCCTGCTTATACTGGAATAGCTAATATGAAAGACAGAATCAAACTTGCCAACTATGAGGTTACTGTGTGAACTTTTGCTGCAGTGCTTATGAATAATAAAAAAAACAGCAGGAAATTGTGTGACTACTATGAATACAATATGCCAAGATATTTTATTATCCTTAAAAGTAGTAGACATGAATAAATTGGAGTTATATCAAGGATTCAACTAGGTATTCACAATTATCCTGTACTTGCATTGCTATATTTGAAAAATTATAAAACTGAACTGTATTTGGGTAGACCCAGATACTTGCTTTCTCCAGTGCATGCGTTCTGGGGAACTGCTGTTATCTTACCTTAATGAAACTTTAACAATAATAACAAAACAACAATCCACCTAAATGCAGCATCCATCAAGCTTTTGTGCCCAATTGATAATGTTTAACAAAGGATAAAGTCAAACTCAAATAGCAGCTTTCAAGATGTCAGGTAACAAAATACCTCAAATAGCTGCAATAGATGTAATGACATGCCTAGGAAAAGAGATCCACAATTGTGTCAGTAGCGGACAATTGGAATAGAAGATTGTGCAAATATTTAATTTGACCAATATATTATATACTGTGATAAAATTGATATGTCTTAGTAATAAATAGGTAGGACATAAAAATGTAATGTGCCTATGAAAAAAGGCAATGGCTTATTCTGGGTTCAATAAATGTTTTTATCATTTTTAGCTGCGATAACTGCTCCAAATGTTTCCTATAATTGATTATTATTTTCTCACAACACAGCAAAAAAATTCATGTTGCAGAATCTCCCTTCATTTCATTCTCATAAAAACAAGTCTGAGATAGGCTGGATTAAGGGATTGTCATTGGCCCCAAATTACTCAATATATTTTTGTGGTTAAAGGTGGACTTGAACCTATTTTTAAAGTTAATCCTTCAGCAATGTTATTAATTTAAAAATTGTGTTATCTCTTGGATACAGGTATGTATTTATACTTTCCTGCTAACTATTTTAGTACATTAAAAAATCTTAATCACTATATCCTATTATTGATGTAATTTATCTTTATTGAAAAATATACTGATGAATATAAAAAATTGTTTATAGCACGCTGGCTAAGGGATTCTGGGAGTTGAAGTCCACAGGTCATAAAAGGGCCAAGTTTGAAGACCCCTGGTTTATAGGAATCTTCAAAATGTATTTTTGTGACACTGCAATAATTAATTACTTTTCTCTTGGCTTGATCTTGATCCTATTTTCAATTTGGAATTATTTTTTTTCCTTTTTGCTTCCTGGATACAGTTCTCTCTGGTGGTGTTATTTATATTTACTATATGTGATACATTACAAGAAGTTAGAGGGTACAGTTAGGGAAGACACATGTCATGTCACCACCCTTTACAATTCTTTGCATGCTTGAAGACAAAGGGTGCTGACATTTATCAGCTTTTTCTTGCTGCAACAGATGTGAAATTTGCTTGATCAAAAATTCCTTGGGAGCTCTACCTGAATCAGTATCATACAGTCTACTACATGCTGTGCTATTAGGATAGCTGCTTCATTTTATTCTACTAACCTAAGGATTTCTGATGCTTTTTCTTCCAATTCCACCAAAATGTAATGCCGGAACACTTAATAATCCATAAGTGTGATAAAATGCATGTTGGAAGGCATTTCTGAAGCACACTGTCAGCTTATATTATGTTTTGAAAGGTTTTAGTTTTAACAAGAGAAATGGTTGGGATTATGCTTAGTACAGTTAAAGATACTTATTTAAAAATGACCAGCTACTTTACAAAAATATGTGAATATCTATTTTAAATATTTATATTTTATACTATCTGGAAGTAAATAACTTTTCTAAGGCTAACCATCTTTAATCTTTGTATATATAGTTGCCTAACTGTAAATTAAAATGATGAAAAACCTTATAGCAATGTTGCTTCTTCAGAATCTGCTAATAAATTTGATGAAATTGAATTTATATTATCAGATAATATAATTTTTAATTTTTAACAGATTTTAAATCTGAAGGAAGAATGAAGATAAATGTCTAATGTTGTTAAACAGTGAACTGGTTCCAATTTGCATGTCTCAATTGGGATAGCTAAACCTGCTACAAAGGCAGATGGAAACAATAAACAACTCCAGCAGATGTGATTTCCTTTATCTCTGTTTTAACTCTAAATTCCTGAAGACCAACATATAATGACAGCGTGCCAAAATAGAGCCTATAATGGAGACTTTGCTGATTTCCTGGCTGTGATAAATGAAGCAAAAAAGTATATCTATAATCAAGATATATATTTATAATATTTTAGATCTATATTTCATATTTTATATATTTATCGCTTGTCCTTTTTAATGAAAATGTGATGTGAATGTGCCATATGATAAATAATATACCGTAAGATAATAAATATACTGTTCTCCTGCCAAAATAATCTAACTGGCTTTAAAGTTCAATTTAATCATTTTTAAACAAAAATCTAAAAATCATAATTAGATTGTCATGTTCTGTCAAAGCAATTAGAGGCCTCCAACGTGGTCAAAGTCCTTCTGACAATCAATCATGAGGTATGAAGTGAGGGTGGTACACAACTTGCTGAACTTCAACATGTTTTTACCTTCCTGAGAAAAGAAAAAAACTTACAGATCACAAGGAACTTAGTTGAAGTCAACGATTCTTGACTTTCCATTTAGTTTGGAAAACTTGCTCAATCAAGTGTTTAGAAATAGCCACCACCACAACAACATTTATACTAGCTGTCCTGTAATCTAATTAAAACCACTAAGAGGAGGAACACTTGCTCTTATATAAAGTGTACAAACTTGCCAAGGTTTCCCTGATTGATGAGTTATGATCCTTATCTAGGATATAAACAAAAAGAGCCATTCAGGGAGATTCACACTATTTATGATGTGTTAACACAGTGGTTCTCAACCTTTTTAATGCCGCGACCCCAACCGGTCGTAAGTCGAGGACTAAACCGGTCGTAAGTCGAGGACTAAACCGGTCGTAAGTCGAGGACTACACAACCGGTCATAAGTCGAGGACTAAACCGGTCGTAAGTCGAGGACTAAACAGGTCGTAAGTCGAGAACTACCCAACCAGTCGTAAGTCGAGGACTTTCCCTGCCTGGGAGCACTGCGCATGCGTGGTTCCGCCCCCTGCACCGGCCGAAGTGTAGCTGGCAAGCGGCAGAGACGGAGCAGGCCGACCACCAGCTGGCCCAGCCCAAGGGAGGTAAGGCACCTGCCGGAAAAGGGAAAAAAATGGCGGATAAAAAAATGGCGGACAGCCTTGCTTGGCGACCCCCGTGAAATGGTCGATCGACCCCAAATGGGGTCCCGACCCACAGGTTGAGAACCACTGTGTTAACAGAACTGCTAATGATTTTAAAGTAATTTATAGAGTTTCTGATCCATCTAAACTTAACACACATAGACTGTAGCTCATATGATGGGATTTTTCTCCATTTCCTTTTCTTACACACTCAAAATTTGCTCCACATGGTCCCCAACTCCACTGAAATAGGCTACAGAGGTACATAGAGTAAAGAGGGTGAAGAGGCGTCTCTCTTGATAATGATAGTATTCCGTGACTGGACGACTACCACTGGACATAATACAATGTTTTTATATACATGGTATCTATTGTGCTATAAGAAATCTGTATAATTTGTGCATAGAATTCCTTTGATACAGTTATAGAGCGCAACTCAATTTAGAATATTCATTGCATCATTTTAGAACACCTTTTCTTTTTAGGTATACATTTGCCATAATAAAGCAAAGTCTTAAAAACTATAGCCCAATAAGGAATAATTGAGTTTATTTAATTAATATATCACAAAAATCATACAACTCCTAGCAGATTACAATCAAAATATTAAAAAATAAATAAATTATCTCATGACTTTGAATCTTTCCATGCAGCATTTTTTCCTATCTTTAACTAATTCGAACTGTTTGCAGTTCTTTACATAATACAGGGTTAATCTTATCAGATGTATTTATCTTAGGAATAATTACAAGGAACAACTACAAGGAATAAGCCACTGTTTCTACATATTTTACTGCCCTCTAGCGGTCAACAAATGAGGCAAACTGGTAAGCAAACAAAAACAGCAATGATTTGTCCCAAAAATTCCAATAAAGAGAAATTTTATTTTCAAAAATTCTATAAATCTCTGAAAATTTACTACCTTACTTTGAAAGCTACAATTTTTTTTATTGTTTTCTTTGACTTAAGTCTATCTAAAAGTTATTCTAACCAAAGGTGTAAGCCTGATGCTCCTTTGAACCATCCACAAATGAGCATCCCACTTATGGTGGCTTCATTAAATTGTTAATAACAAGAATATTTTCAATTAACAGACCGTCCATTTTGGAAAACATAATGAACTTCACTAAGACCATAAGACAAAAAAATATCAAAAGCAAATGCTGTGAAACAGAAGTTTTACAGTCAGCCAATTATTATTTTTTAATTATAATGTGGTGGAATGTAGTAAGGAGGTTGATTCCCAGGAAGGAGGGGTGCATCCCAGATGAGTAAGAGGCAACTTAGCCCAGATCTTATGTGTGTGAGAGAGAGAGGATGAAGGTAACCTCTCCCTAATAGTTCACAAAGTAAATTGTAGATGCATATAGTAGAGTGTTTGGTCTGGCAAGATTTTATTTATTTATTTATTTATTTAATTTAATTTATATGCCGCCCTTCTCCCGACGGGACTCAGGGCGGCGCACAACATATTTAAAACAAAACATAAATACATTCCCCCCCCCAATAAAACCGAATTAAATCAAATCAAATCAATTTTGTCTACAGGTATGAAACATTAAAGAACTCAGCTTGGAAGAATCACTGCATGTCATTCTTGGGGCCTGAGAGATAAACAACTTTTTAATGCCTGTTAAAGAACCTGTACATAGAAATAAAATACACGGTGGAACATGAAAACAAAAACAAATACTTTTCCTAGATAAACTAATTGATTTGACTACGTGCCATCAGATTGTTTTTGACTATGTGGTTGCTTGGAATCGAAAATAACTTGATGGCATGTAATCAATCAATCATTTCATCTAAGAGCATTCTTAATAGGACACAATCATTATCCTATTTGTTTTCAAATATATTATTTATGGTTAATTAGTGGTCTCACTGCTAACAGCAACATCACATATTCTCTCAATTATTTAAAAAAATGTAATTTTTTCAAAATTCAGTTTATACGAGTGTGAAATCATCATTTCACAAATGAATGAAAAAAATATGATTCTATAGGAATATCAAGATCCTTGCCTTTTCCTGGATTGACTGCAGCAGGCAAACTGTCCCAATCTAGAGCCCATTTAGGGCAAGGATGAGGAGAAAACATTGCTTCAATCCCTTTTTCCTGCATTTCAAAGAAAAGAAATCATCAATTCGGAAATCTGCTAAAAAGTTCAAAGGACCCTATCTGTACAATATAAAGTATTATGCATTAATGATATCCTGATATTAGTTAAGTTTGAAACATAGGATTATTATAGACAAATTATGCCCTTGCTTTTATATCTATCAAAGTAGATGCCCCAGAAAAGATTTGCAGTTGAGCTAGCTAAAATTGGCATTGTTTTCTTACAACAGGAACCAAAACTTCTCCGTTCAAATCATCACTCAGCCATGAGTTACTCTTCAAAATATGTTTCTGCTTTATAAGATTTACAAATTAAGTTTAAATAAAATATTTTTACCACTTAAGATAGAAGTAATTATCTAATCAAGCAAATAATACATTTCTCCTCTTCCATTATAGTACAGAATTTCTAAAGCAACCCAAACTCAACCTATTTTCTGGTTAAAGTTTCACTGTCATTGATGCAGAAGCAAATTATTTTATTTTGCAGAGAATAATTTAAGAAAAAATTAAAAACATTGCAAACATGATAAAATATCAATTCTCCAAACTACTTTTATTGGTTAAGTTCTTAAAACATAAGGAAATATTTTTATAGTTAATATATCTAACCTATAAATAATTACCTACCATTAATTTTGTTATTGTTGGTCTTGGTCCACCTATAAACTGAATTTCCTCTGGAAAGTTTTCTGGCTCTTTAAAAGCTGAGAAAGTATTCTGCTGGCATTCATTTGGTAAAGGGTGTGATCGACAATTCAGTATATTTTTTATATTGCATTTGACACTGGCTTGCTTTATTCCAGGTACTTCTAGAACCCTTTTGTACCAGCTCAATACTAAAGGCAGCTGTAATACGTTATTTTGGTGTTTCTTCCAGGCAGCCTTAAAATGATAAATGAAAAGTTTTATGCACCATTTTGATGTACAAAGAATGCCTTTCGTACTGAATATATATATATTAGATGTACAATATATATAACTATGGATGTTGGTTTTCTTGATAGACATTCTCACATGGGATAATTCATGGCCAGCAATTTAGACAGTTTACAATTCCAAAGAAAACTGGAGATTTTGTACTCAATACTAATTAAATGTCTAGGACTCCAAAATATAAAAACACATTGAATTGCTTAAACCCTCCAATTATCAGAGTTACCAGAGCTATCAATTAATCTTCCTAAAAACACCATCATCATTCTTACTCTGCCTTACAACCCAACCTCCTCCCCCAAGTCCTGGTATGCCATCTCATGGTGTATGTGTATATGTTCCTCAGAGGGGTGATCAAAGTACACCCATACGATATGCCAAGAGTATATATTCCCAGTATATATTCAAACCAAAGGTGTGAAGGTCATCCCAGTTGCTCAGTCAAAGCAAGCAAGCACCTATACTGGGCAGCCGCCATATGGGAAGATTCTAGAGAAAGAGGATCACTTTAATAACAATGGCAAAGACATCTATCCATACTTCACTGGATAAAGCAATATTAAACCACTCCTGTATTTTTATCAGGAAAATCACATGCATAAATACAGGAAGTCCTCGACTTACAATAGTTCATTTAGTGACCATTCAAAGTTAAAACAGCACTGAAAAAGTGACTTATGATTGTTTTTCACACTTACGACCATTGCAGCATGTGATAGTCATGTGATCAAAATTCAGATGCTTAGCAACTGGTTCATATTTATGACGGTTGCAGGGTCCCAGGGTAATGTGATAACCTTTTACGACCTTCTGACAAGCAAAGTCAATGGGGAAGCCAGATTCACTTAACAACCGGTTACGAACATAACAAATGCAATGGTTCACTTAACAACTGTGACAAGAAAAACAATAAAATGGGGCAAACTCACTTCACCAATGTTTCAATTAGCAATATAAATTTTGGGCTCAATTGTGGTCGTAACTCAAGGACTATCTGCATTTTTGTTTCCTCCATGAGATACTTAAAGTAAGCTACCTTTCAGCACTTATCTTTATGCTGTATTTACATTTCATTGACTGTTTTGCTTTTGCAGGGGGTAGAGGTAGGGGGAAAACAAGGTAAACTTTTCTTAATTTAATAACTATTTTATTTTCCTATGGATCCAATTAGGCCTTTCCAAGCTAAAGTTACACAGACAGAATATGTTAATTTTGCAAAAAACATTGGTTGGAAT